CCCCAAACTGCTTTTTAGTCTTCCTTTCTTCTTTCAAAACCTTTACCCTTTAGATTTTCAGAGCGGCTGCGAGAAGCAATAGTCGCATTTTCTGAACGGTTCGGTTGTCGATTAGAAGTGCATTTCGGATTCCATTTTCTGCATGTGATTTATAAGACCGTGTTTTCTTCAACCGAGAATACAAAATACACGAACAGGTTTCACTACAGTGTAAAACTAGACACGAGGAAGTCGCTCAGAATAAAGTCGGCATCCAATACAGGAAGATTTGCAATGTTAAGAAGGCGGGAATAATTCCCACCAAACTCCGACTCAACTTYCCTCTCGCACATATGCACGGCGCTAAACTCTATGCTAGCATCCACGCAGTTTAATTAATACGCAACAGCGTGTCATGGGAACTTTCAAAACAAGCTCCACATCTGAAATTAAATTAAACGAATCCACGTTTTGCTAGGGCGTGTGTTCATGCGTTGCAAGTTTGGGGTATCGTTTGTCTGTTCAACAGACTTTCTTAAATAGACAGTGGCGGCTGAGAAGGACAACAAACAAAAAGAGTTTTAAGAAAACTTAGGATAAAAGAAAGTGTTTGAAATACATTAAAAAAGAAGTGCATGCGCCGAAGCAATGTGTATCAAGAGCGACAGATCCGTGTGCTATGAATTTTAGTTATAAAACTGATGAACTAACAAGAGTTCATACAGTTCTTCTCACCCCGTGAATTTCCTCGGTTGTGTAATATTGATAGATACAGGAACAAAAGACAAACAGAACCAGTTTCTAAAATTACACACCTCTCATCGACACACATGTTTAATAATAGGGTACACCTTCCCTTCCCCCCCCCCCAAAAAAAAAAAAAAACGACTGTATAATTAGCAACAACAGTATTAAACTATTTCTGACCACCAAGTCCTAAATTAATTTTGACACTCAAGCAGATTCTTCGCCTAGCAAATCAGCTTTTCTCTTTCAAGGACCATGTAATGCTTTTTCGTAGGGATGAAAACTAAAACCAGCGAGGTGTTTAAGARGTCTGAAAGGAAAACGATACTCCAAGATAAGAAAAACTTTGCCCTAGACCATCTATCTGATGAAAACTACAAGTTTTCTCCTGCCCAGGTCGGAGGAGTAACTGATTTCTGRGTATTCAGCGAAGCCTGGACTTTCYGGGCAGGAATGGAGTAGGACTTAYAAGGCGAGAAAGGACCAGCTTAATTGCTAGTTGCCCTAAACCATTGCTGAAAACATTTTCCTAAGGGACCCTTCGAAAGAAATCTTCCCCCACCACAGCCCTTCCAGTGAATCGTGCATTCCAGGGAAGGACCTGGGTTACAGACAAGAAAAACGCAACCAAAGCATTGCCGCCCGTCTACTGAAACCACTGGTACAGCGCAAAAACTGAAGGGAAGGAAGGGCAAGGCGGAGGATGCTTCTCGTGGAGGGAGAGCGGTGCAGGCACCAACTGCGGTCCCCCAGCCTGAAGCGTCCCCGGGGTGGCCCTGTGTGGAGGGAAGCGGAGGATAAGGGGTGAGGGACTGCGAGAAGGGACAAGATACGTACGGTTGTTGGGGTCGCTGGTGTGCTGGTTCAGGGGGATGATCTCCATGCGCTGCTGCCCGTACAGGTAGTAGTCCAGCTCCTCGGCCGTGCAGCGRTACCGAGCGGCACCACGGTCGCCGCATTTGCCGCCGCCGCTGCCGGTTCCGCACAAATCCTTGCCCTGGAGGGGAGCGGGCGCTCCCCCGGTCGGGAGCTCCGAGCTCTGCAGCGGACCGAAGACCGGGAGCTGGGTCACAGGCAGGGWGGTCAGGCCAGCCAGAGAAGCGGCCGCCGCAGCCACGCACGACGAGGCGGAGGAGGAAGACGGAGTGGACGAGGAAGACGAGGAGGAGGCAGAGGAGAGGGAGGTCGGGCGCTGKCGGAGACTGTCAACCGGGGGCTCGGCTCTCTCGGGCGGCTGGAGCTGGGCGAGGGGCCCGCTGCTTTTAAGCTGGCTGCTCTGMGGGAAAAGCTGCTGCCAGTGCTGCAGATAGGCGGGATCCACCTTCAGGAACGCGGATCCGCCAGTGTCGCCGGGTTTCAGCATCGCTCTGCCTGTAAAGCGGGGAGGAAGGGGACAGAAGACATGAGACCCCCGCCCCGCCCCTGCAGGGCCGCCCCGATCCCGCGGTCGGACACGCTGGGCCACGCGTGGGCTCTGCGCCGCCGTCGTGCGGGATCAGCGGCGGGACCGTGCGCCTGCCGCTTCCCCTGCCCCACCGGGTTCRTCAGGAGAAAACCTCGTACCGAAAAGCCCCAGGACGAGAAACGTGATGGCCGGAGCGACAAAGCTGTCCTCGGTGCCCGCCCCGGAGCAGAGGCAGGACGCGGGCCGTAGCGGGCAGCCCCTCACGCCCGCCCGTGGCCGGAGAGCCCCCCGCCGCCCCGCAGGGCGCGCAGCTCACCCCGTGCCCGGCTCACGCACTGTCTTCCCCTTTCACTCCCTTCCCTCTCTCCGCGGAAGCAAACGACTCTCCGCTGACAACAGGGAGGAGGAGGAGGAGGCGGAGGAAAGTTCAGGCACACGCACACACGCACGGGTCTCTCCTCTCCGGCCGCKGCTTTCCACACCGGCGTTCACAGGCGGAGGGCGAGGGCCGGAGGTGCCCGGGCCCCGGGAGAAGGTGCCCCGCTGTGCCGGGCCAGTCCGAGGGGCCCCGGGCCGGGTCTGCCTTACCTGAGCGGGGTGAGCGCTGCTGCGGCKTGCGGAGGGGTCGGCTGCCCCGGGAGCCTTCGAAACGGAGAACGGCCGGGAGCAGAGACTTGTCCGGTCTTTGTCCACGAGGGAGCGGGGTGATTCTCCTCCAGGTGCAGGGGACTGGCGGGCCGGCTAGCTGCGAGCCGCCGGGCTCCCTCTGCCGTGGCTGCGCATCGCAGTCGCGGCCGGGCGCTCGGCTCGGCTCTGGCAGGCTCCGGGCGAGACACGTGGGTTTTACGACAGCGCAAAATACAAGTGTGTACGAGAGGGAGGGGAGGGATCGGGAAGTTACCAGCGAGTCTGGATGCAGAGCTCTTTTTTTGGCAACTTCCCTCACTTTGTTCCTTGCTCAACTTTTAAAGGTGCCCCTTTCTTCCCTTCCCTCCTCCCTCTCTCCCACCCTCCCCCAGCCTTCTACCTCTCTCACTCTCTCC